GTTGTGTGTTTGTTGTTTGTGTGTGTGTGTATGTGTGTGTGTGGTGTTGGTGTGTGTGTGTCCGTCGTGTGTGTGTGTGTGTGTGTGTGTGTGTGTGTGTGTGTGTGTGTGTGTGGTTTGTTGCTATAATAGCATATGTAATAAGTAAAAGATCAATAATATACACAATGTTAGCTAATATATATATATTATTATTATATATAACTCTACTATACGTTTTCCTACAAACGTGTCCAGCTTACGTTCTTTCCGCTGCTCTTCTCTGTTTTTTAGCTGTTTTCTGGTTTTTTTTTTTTTCTCTCTCTCGTATCCTCATCCTTCCCGTTCTTCCTTTCTTCCTGCCTCCCCCTTCCCCCCTCTCTTCTCTCTCCTTCCTCTCCTCCTCCCCCCCTCTCCTCCCTCTCACCTTCCTCCCCCTCTCTCAGTCTCTCTCTTCTCCACTTCATCTCTTCTCTTCTCTCTCTCTCTTCTCTTCTTCTCTCTCTTGATTCTATTTATCATTCATCTATATAATTATCCATCTTTCTATACTATATACATATAGAATATTTACCACAGCATATATGTATATCTATATATATCACTAATGAATGTTATACTATATCTTCTCTATCTACTCTTTTCTATTCATCTCTATCTCTCCCAACCTCATATACTACCTCATATACCACACATCACACACACACACACACACAACACACACACACCACCCACACACACACACACACAACACACCACACCACACACACACACACACACACTCTACACACCCACACACACACACACACACACACACACACACAACACATATATATATATCTATATATATTACCTATTTATAATATATAATATATATATGGTATAGCCTTCCATACAATACATGCCATCATATACACACACTACACCACACCACACACACACAACACACACACACAACACACAACAACATTATATATATCATTATATATATATTATATATAATATATATATATATATATATGCTGTGTGTGTGTGTGCTGTTGTGTGGTGTGTGTGTGTGTGTGTGTGCTGTGTGTGGTGTGTGTGTGTGTGTGTGTTGTGTGTGCTATACATATGTATATAAACTATTAAATATTATTAATTATATATATATATATCTATATATATTAAACATATATATAATAGTATATATATATATAATATATATATATTATATATATATCTATATATACTAATATTATATATATTACAGTATATTATTTCTTCATTATTTACTATATAATATATATATATACTATATACTATATACATATTATACACACATCTATATGTATAAGATATACATAACATGAATACATACTATAATATATCTATTATCTCTTTATATATACTATATATATAATATATTATACCATAAATTAACGTATTATACACATATATATCTATTATATATACCTAAATACTATATCTACTATTAAATTTATTACTATTATATATTATCATAATACTATATATCTAATTATAATCCCCCTCCCCACCTCTCCCTCCTGCCACATCTCCTCTCTCTCCTCTTCTATCTCTCCTCTTCGTTCATCTCTCCTCCCTCTCTCTTCCCCTCTTCTCTCCTCTCTCCCTCTTCTCTCTCTCTCTCTCCCCTCTCTCTCTCCTCTCCTCTCTCTTCCCTCTCTCCCCCTCTCTCTCCTCTCATCTCTCTCTCTCTCCTCTCCTCTCCTGTTTCCTCCTTACTCTCTCTCTTATTAACTCACTTCAATTAGGTAGTATATAAGTATCTTATTACTCTCTCTCTATTATATATATATATATATATGTCTTACTACTACTATTCTACCTCTTATAATATATGTACTTATATATATATCATCGTCATATGTATTATATCTTACTCTCTTTACTATACTTTATGACTTATGATATCATTTCTTTCTAACTATAATCTATACTATAGTCACTCTCTTTCTATCTATCTATCTATATTACTCTCTCTTCTCAAATATATCTATATATTATACTCTCTCATCTATACTCTTCATCTCATCTTACTTTCTCTCTCTTACTCGTCTTACTCTCTCTCTCTATTCTTCATCTCTCTCTCTTCTCTCTTCATCTTCATCTCTCATTATCATTCTCTCTCTCTTCTTCTCTTCTTTTCTCTAATTTTCTTATATATGTTCTTACACTTTTGAAAGACCTCATAAATTATATTTTAATTTCTGACCCCAGCGTACCTATATATATATGTGTGATGTGTGTGTGTGTGTGTGTGTGTGTGTGAGTGGTGTGTAACGAAAATCCCTAAAAGCAATCGTGTAAGTCAGACGGAATATTGCATGTCTCGGAAATAGCTGTTGCATCACTGCACTGGACGCGAAGGTGCGTCGTAGCAGCTTGCTTTAGTCGCGAGGAAGGACTGAACCGGTGAAGTACAAGACAAAACACGTTTGCGCAACATGACGTAATCAAAAGGTCACTGTGTCGCAAATTTCAGATCTATTGGAACGGG